ACCCGTACCGCAACCGGCAACGGGATCGCAACCCTCAGTGTCGCGCCCACACCGCGCTCAACCAGTGAGCGGACAAGTGCGCCACCGGGCCGGCCTGAAGGTTTTATTTTTTTTTAATATTTTAATTTTTTTGGCAACTGGCCAGGATAGGGGATCCAAACCCTTGACCCTGGCGTTAAGTGCGCCACCGGGCCGGCCTGAAGGTTTTATTTTTTTTAAATATTTTAATTTTTTTGGCAACTGGCCAGGATAGGGGATCCAAACCCTTGACCCTGGCGTTACAATACCATGCTCTAACCAATAGAGCTAACTGGACAGCAGGAAGGCTATATAAAAATATTATACTTGAGCAAAAAACCAACCTACTGGTTTTACAAAAGAATTCTTTAGTCATACTTTACTCTCATTCCAAAGACAAGGCCTTTTGATAAGGGAACAGCTTTTAAAGTAATCTCAAAGCCACATTTATATTACAGAGGAGGAACAGATAGAAGGAGCCAGAAGAAGAAAACCCCCAAGATCCTAAGAAGTGAAATTTTACAAAAGTCTTTCTCATCTTCACACGTGGACTGCAAAAAACATGGATTCTAATTACTTAAGAGGCCAGGATATTATGCTAGACAGAGGGTAGGGAAAATGTTTTCCAATTGAACAAAAAACTCAGTTTCAACACAGAAATAGAAAGGCACACACTTCAAGTACTCAGAAAACAGCTAAGTGATGATCTTGACTATGGGTTCAGATTTCAATACCTTAATCAGCTCTTTTTCTTTATGGAGTTCCTCATGAAGTTCTGGAAGAGGATCTTTATTTCGTGCCTTTAAAACTTGCAGCCTGCTTTTCAACTCTTTGATTTTCTTTTCACACTGGTTCCAGGTCTATTTGAAAACATTATTAAAATTGGTAAGTACTTTGCTCTTAAGAATGAATTGTAGAAATAGAACAGATCATTTAATCCATGTCTTCCTTCTACTCAGTGTGTTTTTGTAAATCGCACAGAAACCCAGTTCCTTATCTTGTGCAGACTGTGTTCTAAAAGGGCAGATGGGACACCAGTATGATTCGGTGCCTCTCCAGCTTCACCTGTGCCTCATTTCAACCACTGAGCTGGCCTTTGCTTGGAAATATTTCTTCCTTCCTTCTCAAGCCTTCATTTATCTAATCTAATTTCTATTTTAATTTTGAAAAAGCTCACATCTAAAAGGCTGCTATGAGTATTAACTTTTAGCATTTATGGTCTTGGGCATATGCTACAACAGCACCATAAAGCAAAAGCACCCAACCATGGTCCTTGTCTTCTTTCCTAATGTCACCCTCTGCAGCTCGGCTTTAGTGATCCTTTTACAATCAACCTTCACTTTCCATTTCTCACTACTACTGCTTAAAGTACGTTGCAGTTTACAAAGCATTTTCTTTATTAACTCATTGTTATTACCATAACCTTAGGAGGCAGACAGGGCAAGTATTATTATCACATTTAAAATGGGAAAACTGAGGCTCAGAGAAAACTATGTAGTTAAAAATTTAGTCAAGTGTCAACCATCTCTTTTCCTCAAACCTTATATTACCAAGCAAATAGGTGCCTGCATTTTCAAGTTCAGGGTGTTTACACTTAATTCATTAGGATAAGTTTCTACTCTTTAGCTTATTAAAAGCAGACAAACATAAAATCAAACACTATCCTATTCCTTAGTACAACTGATACCTACAGATACTTGGGTTGGCTCAATTCTGTAACACCTCATTTAAGGGGAGGCCACTTGTCTAGCAACTCAACTATCTGGAGCTCAGCTAAGAAGAAAGCAAAGAGAAGCAAAACTGTGAGTTCTTATCTTTCCCACCAAACTGATATCTGCAGTTACCATTATGCTTTACAAACAAGCCAGGTGCTCAACAAATGTTTGCTAGGTAATGAGTTTCACAGTCTGTATACCAAAGAAAATCCAGAAACCTTCATCACAGAGAGATGCTCAGGCCCTGACTCAGCAAATATTACCCTCAATTCAGAAAAACAGTTCTGATAAGCTTGGTTATCTAGTTTTGGTACACGCAACAGACTAGAGAGGAGAGTGGGCTATAAGGAGAAGGTGAGCTCAAAGAAACAAAAAATAAAGACAGCTTAACATTAAGAGAGAATAAGAAAAACTATAACAACCACATGAGAACTCAAAGCACACAGTAGTGTAAGGAGGGCCACAGGTTCAAAGCAGCTCAGAATCCTTGAGAACAACTGGGTATTTTATTATAGTAAAACAAAAATGAATTTCCTAATAATGACTCAAAATAAAACATTTCATAGTTCTTAAAGGTGTAATATCAATTATCTAGAAAATTCACTCATGTGGAAAAGTGCATTCTCAGGTGATAGCAGAAAAATGAAATATCAGTGTACTTATTTTCATGTTACACCGAAGGAGAGACTGTATGTGGAGCATTAGCTTTGTGTATTGAGCTTCCACTGAGAGTGAATAAGTTTTCTGTTTCATCAAAGTAAATATCTTAACAGAACCTTGAGAACACGGAGATTTTTCAGTGCTATATTATTATTTTGTGTTAAGTAACTGGCATGACTCATGGATTAGTAGGACTTGAGTTTCCTCACAAAACTCACAATAATGTAATTTCCTAAAATCATTCCCATTTTCATACAGCAAACAAAAACCACATGTACTGAATTTGAAAATCATGAAAGGAAAATTAAATGGTGAGTTTACCTCTACGATGTTCTGGAACTGCTTAATCATCTCTGCTAGCTGGACCTCTGTGTCCTTCCAGTTGTTCTGAAGTTGGCTGAGTCGCTTGTCAATCAACTCTTTGGTCTCCAGGTTAGTTGTGTTCAGTAACTTTTCCCCAGCTTCCAAGGTTAGTGCGTAGGTGGCTTGCCACCTTTGAAAATGGATTTCTTTATTCTAAAACAAAAACAAAAAACCACAGTGATTTCTTAAGCCTCTAATGTGATCAAAATGTGATATTGTGTGTGTTTGTGTATATTTCCTTCAGAGCTTTTCTTATATGTTAGATATAAATGACACAAGTCTGGTCAGAATGTACACACACACACTTACTTACATCAAAAGCTAATGTTTTACATCAAGTATACAGCATACTGCCAAATGAGGTGTTCTTAGAATGATTTCCAAAGATTGGTGAGATAAGCTTTGAAATGGATTGAATTGTGTCCCCCAAGTTTTATGGATAAGAAGCTTGATTCCCCACTGTGACTGTTAAGAGGGTGGGAAATTGTAATTGAAAGGCGGGGCCTTGAAGAGATAATTAGATTCTAGGACCGTGCCCTAATGAATGGATTAATGATGGTGGTCATGGATGTCGTTCTGAGGGCTTAAAAGGAGAGCACATGACAGTGTCTCTCTCTCTGCTTCACCATTTTCTGTCACGTGAGACCCCTGCATTGCTGTAAAGCCACCACCAAAGAAGACCCTCACCAGATGTGTTTCCTGGACTTTGGACTTCTCAGCTTCTGAAACTGTAATAAATTTCATTTTCTTACCAATTACCCAGTTCCAGGTATTTTGTTATAAGTAACAGAAATGGACTAATACAAGCCTCTTAGTGTAATGATTAGAAGCAGAGAGAAATGAAAAATCTACTTCATTAAATAAAAGTAGCAAGATAGATGGATCTAGAAACAACATACTATACTCCGCAAATATGTATAAGTAAATGTTAAAATATTTTGAAAAAAAGAAAAACAACTATAGAATTAAACATGAAATTAAGAGCAAATACCAGTTATCATCATGAGTCAGCTCACTTCTAACCCACAGGAGTAGAATGTGCACATTACAATAAACAAATATAAAAGGAGGAGAGAACAAATAAAAAAGGTAAAATACAACAGGTTATGATGGGCACATAACATATACTTCAATACACGCACTAAAGGTACAGCTTTAAAAAATGTCATCTGAGGGGCTGGCCCGGTGGCGCACTGGATAAGTGCGCCGCTTGGGAAGCGCGGCGGCGCTCCCGCCCGAGGGTTCTGATCCCACATACAGACCGGTTCCCGCTCACTGGCTGAGCGAGGTGCGGGGGCAACACCGAGGGTTGCAATCCCGTTGCCGGTCCCCGGTCCGGTACGGGGGCAACACTGAGGGTTGCGATCCGTTGCCGGACACGGAAAAAGACAAAAAAAAATAAAAATAAAAAAATAAATAAAAATAAAAAATGTCATCTGAAATTTCAAGTTGGATTTTCTTTAAAAAGGACTGAAACTAGCTATTTACAATACAAAAATGAAACAAAAACTTTTAAATTGGTTCATACTTCCAAAAGCATTTGGTTTCTGGGGAAAAAAATTAAAGTTTTCATCTGTTCTAAATGATTTCATACATCTTCAAACTTCTCAAGGGAGACATAATGTAGGCATTTTCCAAAATGAAAGTTGATAACAACAGTAACAGAACCCTGATTTACAAAGGTTTTCTGAGAAGACTTGAGATCATCCATACGCACAGGAGGGAAGCAGAGTGTGCCGTCGGGAGCAGCATGCAAGGGACACGCCAGCTCAGCTACGCTCACTGCACGTCACCTTCCCCACACGCTGTGCAGCTCCACGTAGCCACTGATATATGAGGGCACTTCAAAAGTTCACGTAAAAATTGAATTAAAAGATAATATGAATCTGTCCATGAACGTTTTGAAACCTCTTGTAAAAGACCTGCTGCTCCTCTAGTCTTCCCTGACTCAGGCAACAACACACCTATTCATCAAGATGCTCAAGTCAAAAACCGGCACCATCCTTGATTTGGCTCTTGTTTTACCTGCTGCATCCAAACCGTTAGTGAGTCTTGTAAACTCTACCTACAGAAATATCCATTTTATCTCCACTGGGGTCACCCTCACCTTAGCCACCACCACAACTCTCCGAGACTATTGAAATAGCTTCCTCACTGGTATGGCAGGCTGTATATTTCATAAAATGGCCACAACAATATTTCCAGGCCCACGTGTTCTTCCAGAACCTTGCCACTCCTCATCAGATACTGGTGCCTCTGCCCCCTCCTCTTGAACCCATGTGGGCCTCAATTGTTAGAGCATGGCGAAAGTGGCATAGGTGCAAGAGCCACCTAACCGAGCCCTGTCAATCCCCAGAACTACGAGAGAGAATAACGATGGTTTTTATGCTACAATAGATAAGTGAGATGCTGGGCTTCCTACTTTTCCTCTAGTTGCCCTACAATCCATCCTCAGAGCAGCCAGAGTGATCTTTAGGACTTACAAATCGTATTCTGCTGCCCTCTCCCCCAACTGAGACCCTTCAAAGGCTTCCTATTCCACGTGGACTGTAGCCAGCTACCACACCTCAGCCTACAAAGCACGCCTCCCTGCCAGCCTCTCAACCTCATTTCCTACCACTGCTGCCTTTGTTCCTCTGCTTTGCTGAGCTTCTGCCCATCTTGAGGACTTTGGGTAAACCATTCCTTCTGTCTGAAAGGCTCTTTGCCCAGACCTTTGCTTGGCTGGTCTCATCATTCAGTCTCAGTTTAAATGTCGCATTCCCAGAGATCACCCAAACAAAAGTTGTCACCCAGAATGTAAGTTACTACAGCCATTGTGAAACAGTATGGAAGTTCCTGAGAGAACTAAAAATAGATCTATCTTATGACCCAGATATCCCTCTACTGGGTATATACCCAAAGGAAATACAATCAATACATCAAAAAGACACCTGCACTCTCATGTTCATCACAACGTGATTCACGATAGCTAAGAGATGGAATCAACCTAAATGCCCACCAACAGATGAATGGATATAAAAAACTGTGCTATATATGCATAATGGAATACTACTCGGCTATAAAAAGAAATGATATTCTATTTCTTTTTTAGCAACATGGATGGAACTGGAAACCATGTTAAGTGAAGTAAGTCAGACACAGAAAGACAAATAGCACATGATCTCACACATATGTGGAATCTAAAAAAAAAGGGGGGGTTCTCATAGAAGAGAGTAGAGGCTGGGAGGGGAGGGGCGTGGGGGAGAGGGGAGGCTGGGAGAGAGGGGAGAAGAGGTGGACTAATGGGTGCAAAGCTATGCTACCTACCCTAAGTGAATCATTGTGCAGTGTATGCCTGTATTGAAACAACACACTGTACCCCACAAAAATAAATATAAACAAAATGGGAAAAAAGGAAGTAGCCACCAAGCCCCTCTATTACTGGCCTTGTTTAAATTATCTACATAAGCCTTATTGCAATCTGATATTTTCTTGTTTATTTATTCATTTGTCAGATTAATTTTTCTTATTTATTTACTCATCTGTCTGATTGCCCCCATGACAGCAGGGGGTCTTCTCCTAGTCCACACGATATGCCTGGCACTTAGGACAGTGATTAGCACAGAGCAGGTACTCAATATCTGATGACTGGATAAATGAATGAGGAAAGCACAGAGTGTCAGAAGGGTGGTGTTTCATTTAGCTGTGTCTCTAAAGTGAAGAACGGCTCTACAGCCGAGTGGAACACGCCCAACTACTTACCCTAATCCTATGCTCATCAAGCAACTTTCTGATGGAAAACTTTGTTGCCTGAATGAATTTGCCTTTTAAGATTAAGCAGGAGTTCCACTGTAAATCACTACACTGGTGGTCAACTTATACATTGGTCAGTGCCTTAGGGCTTGGGGTGGTGTGAGTCTGAAACCCCAAACTTCCCCCACTCTATCCATCCATCCATCTCTACTCCATCCCTCCTCCCATGGCCAAAGGGAGCCTCCCTATTTCTGGATGAATGGGTAGGACTGGGTTTCTGATAGTGCAAGGCTAGGGACCAGGGTGTGGGGCACGGTGACCACACTTCACTGGCCTCCCACTGCAGAGAGTACCCTGGGACCATGATGTCACAGAAAACAAAATCTGAGGTGAACGACCATTTTGCAGATAATGACCACCCTGTGCTGTGGTTCTCACAGTGCTACTGTGCGTGCACTACCTTCAGGTCATGGATGAGACTTCTGATTTGGGAGAGGGTATAGCAATCCTGGCCCTTGACTGCAGACAGCAGCTGGCTGGTGTCGGTGAGGAAGCGGAGCAGGTCCTCCATGGACGTAGTGAAGTACTGCCACTGCCTCACCAGCACATCAATGTCACCCTTCCTCTGCCGAATGCCCCGGGCAGCACTCTGCCACTGGGCTGCCAGCTTCGAGAATTCCAAAACAAATTCTGGCCTGGAGAAAAACAGACGATTAGAGAATCCTGACATCAACATGTAAAAACTATCAATGGGTAACAGGAACTCAAATTCACTATATATGCACAATTTACATGAAAAAAAGCCACGACTTTTTAAAACCTGAGTACTATTCAACTTAAACATAAGGGAAGCTTTGGGAGGGGCAGCAGGTAGGTTGGCAGAAGTTATCTGCACATAACCTTGTACTGTGTCAGCATGCACAACAGCCATTCCTTTAAACGAACTGAAGCTGTTTTAACATAAATTACACCATACACTGTATGGAAAACTAGAAATTGGATCAATGGGAAACAGATGAACATGTAGGTACCTTGTGATGTTATTGATTACTTGAGGATATATTTTACATAATTTTAGCAATAAAGAGCATGCTTTCTGTAAGTGCTCAATTAGTTCTTTTCCAGATAAATAACACCCTTCATACAATAAACGTTTTATTTATCATGGGAAAGTCATGCTTTGCCATACTGATCAAATAAAAACTAGCTTATAATCCTACAACTAGCTTGAGTTTATGATTTCAGAGCTAGGAAGAAATGGGCTTTATATTTCTTAATTATGCAGAAAAACATTCAGAAGTATATGGGGGTTGATGGGGAGGAAAAACAACAGCTAGCAGGACATTTAGAGAAGTATCTAAGTGGGCAGGCCACCTCTGGGCTGTCTGCCATGTGTACCAGCTGTGTGCGCTTATGGCCAGCAGGCTGGCGAGAGGGGCTCTGCTCAGCTCTGGCCCTGCCCAGTGACCTTAACCCCATGCACTTTCACAACTACGATGTAGCTACCTGCTGGGAACAGCAGCCCCTTAAAACTTAATTATTTTTTACATATCAAGACATCACAAGGGTGAGGGTAGAGAGGAAAACATACTACAGAAGGATCATTTAGGATAAAAGTTAAGTATACTTAGGGAGGGGGTATTCTCAAAAGCTTCTGGGTTGCTAACCCCATCCACCTACCATTGGGAAAAGTGCTGCCAGTGTTTTTATGGCCACATGGCAAGACCCCGTGCTAATCTATAGTCAGAACACTGGTCCCACAGTTGTCTGTCAATTAACATGGCGGTAGGGCATTGAGGTGGTCACGATTCACATGGTAGAAGGCCTGCCCCAACCAACTGCATTAGTGCCACAGCCCCACAGACTCCACAAGCCCCACAGCTTACCTGTTCTTTATTTCTGTTGTGTCCAGTAGTTGTAAGGACTGAGTGACATAAGCATCTGCAATGGTCTGGTTTATAGAAACTTCAGCTTCTAACATCTATATACGAGTACAAATATAAAATATCAGCTAGTAGAATTCATTTTTACGAATTTGCAAATTATATTTCCTATTGATTCTAAGCTGTCACGGGGTATGTGAGATGATTCATTTTCAAGTTATTTGAGCCTAACTACAAAAAATGCTCAACCATACATCATCGCTGATGAACATAATCTTACAAGCAAACAGGTCTAATAATAACTATGCCTAAATGCCCATTTATCAGGCATTTACTATTTGCGAGGCACTGTGTAAAACATGCATTGTCTCATTTAATTCTCAACCTTAAGATTTAAGTACTATTATCATATCCATTTGAAGAGGAGAAATCTAAGGTATAAAGAGGTTTAGTAAATTATTCACAGTCACCCCTCTTTTTCGTAGGGATGATTTCATTTTCATTGGATGATCTTAATGTAACAATGTATGAGATGATTCATTTTCAAGTTATTTGTGCCTAACTACAAAAAATGCTCAACCATCCATCATCACTGATGAACATAATCTTACAAGCAAACAGGTCTAATAATAACTATGCCTAAATGCCCATTTATCAGGCATTTACTATTTGCGAGGCACTGTGTAAAACATGCATTGTCTCATTTAATTCTCAACCTTAGGATTTAAGTACTATTATTATATCCATTTGAAGAGGAGAAATCTAAGTTATAAAGAGGTTTAGTAACTTATTCATGGTCACCCCTCTTTTTCGTAGGGATGATTTCATTTTCATTGGATGATCTTAATGTAACAATGTAGACAAATCAGTTACATTAAAAAGTTACAGTGAACTAATCATGCACACTTTTGAGATGCGGGATCTGCCTGTAACACTGGGAGTATTTTCAAATATGCACCAGCACAAGCACAAGGGAAACTCCTATGTGAAATTATTAATACAACATTTATAATTGTACCAGGTGCTTCAATATTAGAGAGAACTGTTCAGTGAAAATGCAAAGATGAGTTCTAACACTTTTCATGCTCTTGGCAGAATGGTATCATGTTTGCATTCTGGAGAAACAAAGTTGCACTAGAAGCTTCCATGTACTGCAGAAAATCTAGGAGTGCTGTCACTAATAGAGCAGTACAACAAAATGTTGAAATTTATGAAATGTGCGAGAATTTCACAAAGGATCAATTCACAACTGAATTTGCTTAAAGGTGTACAGTCTATATTTAGAGGTTGACAGGTACTCCCTGTACTTTATTTCAATCTACCTTTCCCTGACTCCTGCCCCAGGGTGAGCAGTTCGAGGGTGGCAGAGAACACAGGTTTACCTCATATGTTTTCTGCTGTTCCAGGAGAGCTGGAAGGTTGTCAGCAATATTCACTTTGAGTGTCTCTTCGATCTTCTCCAAAAGTTGGATCCACTTTTCACAGCAATAAAGAAACTTTGTATTCAATCCAATTCCCTGAAGCTCACTACAGAGGTTTAAAACAAACAAAACAGATCCATATAGCAATGACATTCCTGAGCTGAAGCCATTCATTCTACCTTCATTGACACAATGACAGAGACGGGATGTTCTCACCTGCAGCGCTCCAGTGACGTCGCTGTGGCCCGAATCCACCGCCGGTTCATGTTCTGCAGTGTCTTGACGGCGACGTCAGTAAGTGGGAGCTTGAGGCTCACTTCATTCAAACGTTCAATATCAGGTGACTGGGCTGTCAGTGCCAGCACATGATCCTATTAAAAAGAAATGGAAGTCCAGATGCCAATAAAATATCTAGATGATAAAAAGGCCTCTTTATCACAAAGATGAAGGAAAACTGGGGCCCGAACAGGGATGCAACTTGCCCACAGCTAACTAGGCAGTGTCAGAGCTGAGCCCGAGCTCAGGTCTCTTGAAGCTGTGCCTTTACTAGAATACCAGCCTGCACATATGGCCAGATTTAGACAGCCCAGGAAACAAAAAATGCTCTCACATTTTGCCTTTGAAGAATACAGAAAATGGGCTTTTAAAAAAAGAACCAGTTCTGGATCTTCAAGTTCCATTTAGTCTGACAACAACTTGACCTTAAATATGTCAGGCAGTTTTCCTACAAAAACATAATAGCCAATTTGATCCTTGAAATAACCCGGGCAAAGCATGGGACTTAAACACCGATATTTTGGTAGAACATGAATCACAAGAAAGCAAACTCATCAAAATCTTATTTCTGAAAGGATATTCCAGGAATAACCTCTAGGTCAACAATATGTTAAGCAAACATCCTTAACAATATCCAAATTACCACTATAGAACTCTGCTGTAATATTTTAGGCTAGGGTCAGCAAACCTTTTCTATAAAGGGCCAGATTGTAAATACTTTAAGGCTTTTGTAGGCCATATGGTCTCGGTAGTAATTATTCAACTCTGCCCTTGTAGCATGAAAACTCTCCTACAAACATAAACGGAAGGGCATGGCTGTGTTCTTTTTTTTTTTTTTTTTTATTGTAACATAGGTGATTGTACATAATGGCTGCATTCTTTTTTTTTTTTTTCCTTTTTTCACCCCCAGCAAGTCATTATTATCTCAAATATTCATAGACGAATATTCAGAAGACCCCTGCTTTTCCCTCTATGCCTTGGAGCCTTCTCGTATATGAACAGATCACCTCCACTCAGAGGAGGGCTGGTGAGTACTCTGCTCCCTCGATTATGCCAGTTAAATATTTTTTTTTTCCTGCTGGTATTGAGAAGTGATATCAGAGCTCCATGGTCCTCTATGAAGCTTTTTGACAGCTCATGCACTAACGGCTTTTCAAAAAGCTAATAATCAACAAATAGCCTGATTTCACCTGCTACTTCTTTGACTCAATTACTCCACTCAAGAAATCCAAGTAACTGTGAGATCTGACCAGTGTATGAAATATAATATATTACTTCTTAAACTAACATGCTCAATAAAGAGGAAATGGTTGCCTAAGATCTACTCATTGCCTATGTGATTAACGCTAGAGTCATATACGTATGTTCGGGACAGCTTCATTCCAGTTTCCCCAAGGAGCAGTCCCTGAAGCACTATTCCTTCACAGGACACAAGGGAGTGAGGGTAGTACGCAAATGTCTGATACTCCAACTCGAATGGGAAAATAACATGAACCTCAAATTCATTTGCTTTCACAAGCAGCATCTTTTCCAAATAAGCAACCCTTTGCAGGGAGTACAGGTGACCAGCGTGGGGGCTGGACTCCGCGGGTTGTGGGAGTCCATCCAGGAGAGTGGAATTTTGGAGAAAGGCATCCTTTGTGTTCTGTACATCATGCTGCAGCTCCTGGAGAAAAAAGGAATAATAAAACATTTCTTCATTTCACACCACAATTCCCTACCCCCTGCTGCTCCATCCACATCTAGGAGAACTTTTGCTCTGGAATTGTGGATATGGCTTTTTGTTATTATTTATTTTAAATAGCTGAAAAAGCTAAGCTTTCTTTAAATGATGTACATTACTGGTGCTGCTCTGATTTGTAAGTTCAAAGCTAAAAGTGACCTCTGACTAATAGAGTTGAGGTGTCTAGTATACAGAAACTGGAGATAACTGGTTACATTCATGTGTTTTATATTTCTAATTATTGAACATGTTAGGGACTTGCCTTCATACCATTTCAAGAATCAATGTAACCTTATCTCCCACCTTAGACTTTCTGATATAAAAGGATTCATTTGCAGAGACTATAGAATCTCATTAATCAAGCTGATTTTAGGGCTACTCTGGAAATACTAATTGTGTGAGATTGCTGGTTTTGTTTTTAAACAACAGATCAGGCAGAAGTGGATCAGAAATACAGATCTTATCTGTTGGATTCTTGTCTAATTAAATTGGTTACTACTTCTTATTTGATCTACAGTATCAGAAGATACAAAATATATCTGGTCACCAGTTTAAAACTAAAAGGTATTCTCTTTCTGGGCGTTCATTAACAGCAATAGAAAAAACACCACAGAGGAAATTATACAACCCTTATAGTCTAAAATCACTATAAGCACAGAAAAGGCATATTAACATGGCACCAAGCACATGATTATTTCTAAAGCAATAGATTCAACATCTATTCTTCTTAGATGATCACACTCAGTTCAGACAGGTTTGCTTTCTTTTCTGGTGGCTGCAAGTACGGGAATCCAAACCCTCTACCTTGGTGCTATAACACCACGCTCTAACCAACTGAGCCAACTGGCCAGCTCAGAGACACATTTGCTTTTATTTCAGACTTCAGATGAGGCTTTTGCTTTACAGATTTAACATGCTAGAGGGAAAGGATAAACTTGGAATAAGGTGTCAGGCTGCCCCCGACCCAGCTACCTGCTGCCTGGACCTCACCTCTAAGTTGCTACTTGGTTGTCCTAATCCCACACATCCCAGCCTCACCCATTTCCTATATGGCCTGCTTAGGGCACCTGTCCTGACTTCTGTCACTGTCATCTGTCTAGTCCCCAGATCATGGCCATCTTTCACTGGCCATGTCTGTTGGGCTGATTTGGCCTTGGTTTTCCCAGTGGACTTTATACCCACCTTTATGTCCTGCAGGGCTGGGGGCAGGATCTCTGCCAGGTTGTTTCCAGACATGTCTGTTGGGCTGATTTGGCCTTGGTTTTCCCAGTGGACTTTGTACCCACCTTTATGTCCTGCAGGGCTGGGGGCAGGATCTCTGCCAGGTTGTTTCCAGACATGTTGATGTTTGCGAGCTGTTGAAACTTTGCTTCCTGCTGCTGTAGCCTTGCTGTGGCTTCAGCATGAGCACTGTTATACGCCTTCCAGAGCTGGAGCAGACTCTGGGCCTTCTGCAGCTGGTCTGCAATGTCTTGGTTTACCTGGGTCCACCTGTAAGTGCCATACAGACAACAGGACCCTCATTCCATCCTTTCCCTTGTAGCAAAAGTACAGTGCACACACTCTGCTGATAAGTTCACAGCAAACAGATCAGTAAGAAGACACTGTTAAATTCTTTTTTAATCATCACTATTATGTAAACCATTATATAAGCAGAAATACAAATTTGGTTATTTACTTGACTTTATATTATTCAATAAAAACTACAAAACTTGTGATTGGCAAAAAATATCTATTGTTTTATGAATGCCTCAACTGTATGCCTGATGAAACTTCTCTGCATGGGAGAGGTTCCTAGTTTACAGAAGGTGTGTTTTTTTAAATTGTGGCTTTATTTAAATTGTGTTTATGTCAAATAAAATTTATATTCCAATTATAAAAGCAACATGTTCCTTATATAAAAGTGGAAATAGAGGAAATTGTTTTATTCCATATACAGACTGTAGTATCTTGCCTTTCTCTCCCATGTAACTTTTTTTTTTTTCTTCCTTTTTCGTGACCGGTAAGGGGATCGCAACCCTTGGCTTGGTGTCGCCCGCACCATGCTCAGCCAGTGAGTGCACTGGCCATCCCTATATGGGATCCGAACCTGCGGCAGGAGCGCCGCACTCTCCCGAGTGAACCACGGGGTTGGCCCTCTCCCATGTAACTTTTAAAAAAATATATTTTCCCGTGTTATAAATAAAAAACAAGTAAACCTAATTTTAAATGGTTGCACACAATGGTCTGCAAATGCCTTGTTTTTCTTTTGTTTGTTTAGTTTAATTGCCAAATTCCCGTTTAGTAGGGATACTGAAGAAACTTGCAATTTTTGCTATTATATATAATGCTCAGATACAACTTTGTTCAAAAGGCTTTTTTTCTTTCTGTATTTCAAGATATTAGCCTTAGACTAGTTCTGGGAGAACTACTGGGTCAAAGAATACAAATAAATAAATATTTGTAAGGTTATGGGTATATATGGTCAAATTGCTTTCTGAAAGCATTATCATATTTACATTCTCACTTGAAGCACATGAGAATGCTTTGTCCACAATATCCTCAAACCCTGCTAACTGGTGAAAAATGGCACAACTGCTTTCCTTTTATGTATTTCAGAAATCTTATTAGAACTTTTTTTGCAAGATTTCCCCCAATTATAAATATAATATGTTTACTGTAAAATAAAAAGACAAAAAAACCCCTAAAAAATGTATGTTTCTTTCTATCTGCCTACCTATCAATCAATGAAAAAGTAAAAAAAGTGCCTGACATCTCATTTATCACGAGGTAACTACTATTAGCATTTTGGAACTCCTTTCTTCAGTCCTAACTATGCCTGTTTTTCCATATGCCTTCCAACATATCTGTATGTAAACAATTGACTGTATCTGTGCAGCAGTGACAACGGAATTCCTTCACAGCAAACTGCCCTGCCATGTGTTTTGAGGGTGGCCCTAAGACTATGTGGAGCCAGATACATTTCTAGGTTCCTTTTGCTATGCCTGTTTTTCCATATGCCTTCCAACATATCTGTATGTAAACAATTGACTATATCTGTGCAGCAGTGACAACGGAATTCCTTCACAGCAAACTGCCCTGCCATGTGTTTTGAGGGTGGCCCTAAGACTATGTGGAGCCAGATACATTTCTAGGTTCCTTTTACCCTCCCTCCTCCCCCATTCCCGTAAGGATTAGCTTAAGA